AAGTTGTTGTTTTTGTTGCATTGTGTTGTGTTGTCTAGTGTTCTGTGGGGCTTTGAGGCGGCTGCTGCTTGTCTTCTGCAGGCGGCAACGCGTCATTGACCCCAAGTTAAAGGCGGATGATGCAAAAGTTGCAGTTGCAGCGGCAACTGTTGCAACTGTAGCTGCTGTTGCTGCTGCTGTGGCTGCCGCTGCCAAAATTGCAATCAAGCCGAATGAAATGACAGCAATCGCGAGGCCAATGCACGCATAAATTAAACCAACAAAATTCAGAGCCCTGTTCGAGCCCAACGCGAGTGTCAACTGTCACTGCCACGCCCACACCGCAGCCCAAGTTCAATTCTGGCCAAAAGCTGGTCAAGAATGCGCCCAAGCAAACAGCAAACAGCCAACAGCTAAAGAAAACAACAAAACAAAACTCAATTAAACTCAAAGCGCCGAAACCGAAAACGAAACCAGTTTTTATGGCGCGACAGCTACAACTGAACATGGAGGATGCAGGAAAGAGCATGGGAGGACGCAGCTCCAGCTCGAGCTGTAGCTGGGCTGAGCGTCTGAGCTAGAGATGGGCGCGTGCTGGATGTTTGCACGAGTTTTGGGATTACAGTGAAAGCTCTCTTAACGGACAGCTCACCAGGCTATCCATTTTTATTTATAATAAGTATAAATGGGATACTGCAGAAATTTAGCACCAAATTATTTAATGTGTGTTCATCTTTACTTTTGTGTTGGGTTTTATTGCATACACGTAATTTGATTTGGTACTCAACACGACACGCGCTCAGCTCTAGTTTCGGGGACTCTGTTGGACTGTGGCTCTGGCTGCGCCTGCGCATTGTTTGGCCACAGAACTTACTCTAATTCAAAGTGCCTCCGATGCTCTGCAGCCCCTTTGACCCCCTCCGACCCCTGCCGTCTGCGCTTTGCGGTTAACCACAGGCATCTTCGCCAACGAGCAAAATTTATAAGATGATGTGCCTGGCATATTCCGCCGCTCTCGGCTCCCCCTGCTCCCGATTCGGTTCTGTTCAGTTCTGTGTATTGTTCAGATTACATAAATTGATGTTGAAGCCGCTTGGGTTGCAACTTGAGACGTTGCAGCAGACGCAAAATGTTGCAGAGCGAAGCGTTAAATGCGCCCTCGGCTCCGTTTGCCACAATGGCAGGCAATGACAGTTGGCCATCAAAAGGCATTTCTGCCCAGAATTATGATAATCAGAGTGTGTAGAGAGTCTACTATATAATTAGATAATAGCCAGTTTATGGCCCAACGATGAAGATGATGCGCCCATGACAGCCATTCAATATAATAAATAATAAATATTCAACATTTTCTACTATTTTATCAGACTTTAATTGACCTTCCCAGACCTAAAACCAGATGGTTTATTTTTTGTTTATTGCTTGACTAACAAATTAATTTTAATTTATTGACACTTAAGATGGAATTTTTCATTTTGATAGCCAAATTTGCACAAGTGAGTTTGCAGGGAAGGTCGCAGTAGAAGTTTTTGTGACCGGAAATGTTAAATAAATATGGAGAGAAGTCAGAGTTAGAGTTTATTTATAGAGAAGATGAAATAAGGCTTAGCTAAAACAAGAGTTAATTTACAATCTGAACTGAGAAATGAGACAGCAAACGGGTTGAACGATTAGGTTTTTAAGCCTTAAAGCTATGTTCGTTGGGCCATTCCAAGGCCTCGCACGTGACAGTCCTAGGATTTTTTTTTATAATATTAATATAGTTGTTGTATAGTGAAGTTGTTTCTACGTGAGAGGCGTTTATTTAAAACCGATTTTAGACAAGTTATAATATAACTTTTTTTAAGTATACCCAACCCACACTTAGGGCATATTAAAAGCAGTTCGTTTTCAAAATATTAACCAGCATGTAAACTCTTTTTGCCCACTGTGCGGCGACATCTTTTCCGTTATCATTTGGTTGACTCTTCCCGTTGGGGCCTTGTCGACTTTGTCAAGGCATTTGGTCGTGCCGTGTAATTCGATACCTTTGTCCAGTGGGTGTTTGTGGCCGGGCCGTGCAGTAAGCTAAATGAAACCGAAGTTTAAGCTATGTGCTGTGGCTGTCAAACTGTGCATGTGACTGCCAAAACAAAATAAAATACAAAAATAAATAAGAAAACCTAAAGCAAAGCAAATGCTGACGCTAATGAGACCATAAATGTAAAGCCTGCCACAAGACACAGCCCGTGGCGCGAGACGGCGACGGCAACGGCAAATGCAACAGCGACTCTAATTGCTGCAATAGAATGAGATTACGAGCAACTGCAGCAACTGCAACTGCAGCAGCAACAGCAGCGGCAACTGCAACAGATGGCCGCCAATTGTAGCGACCCAATTGCAACTGACTTGGCCAACTGGCTGGCTGTTTACTTTTTGCTGGCACTGTGTTTATGTTTACCTGCTGACCGTGCCGTCTGTCTGTCCGTCTGTCCGCCAGTTCGACTGTCTGTCCGTCCGTCTGCCTGTCTATCCATCTAACTGTCCGTCTTTGCAAACAATTGCAACAGCCCCGGCAACAACTACTGTTTGACAATTTATCAATGAATGCCTTTTGTTGCTGCTGATGCTGTTGCTGTTGCTGTTATTGTCGCTGTTGCCATTGTGCGTTGCCTTTTCTTATTGGAACAGGAAGTCGCTTATTTGCTGCAAGTGCGCATCGCATTGACATTTACTCTTGGCGCTCTTGAGAAAAACAGCTGAGGCAAATCAAAGCCCACTTCCCACCCCGCTGGCTGCATTTGCATGTTGCTTTCAATTTATTGTCAGCTAGAAGAAATATAAATATATGCAAATGCATTTATTCTAATTTTAAATAATAAAATATATATTTTGTGTTCACGGGGGCTCGATCCCTAAGCTTTGTGCTCAGCACAAACTCTTACACAGATACCCCAGCAGACTATATTACATGTAACGCATTGAAGAAGACATCTCTGTAAGAGTATTCAAATTTCGGCCAGCCACAGCTTGTCACTTCTTTCTTTTTTTTTTTTTTTTTTTTTTAAGGGTACTTTGCATTGATTTATGGCCTTTCCACCAAAGCACCAAATACATCGAATGCATAATAAAGAATAAAAAAAATACGGAATATTCCATGTGCCCCGATTTCGTTGCAGCCAGCGGAATTTACGAGCTGCAACAACGCAACAAAATGAGCAAAAATTCTAAATTACTTTTTAGTCTCGCTCCCTGGGCCAGTGCCAGTGCCAGTGCCAGGGCCAGGGCCAGGGCCAAGCCGTAAGCCGTGCCTTGCGGATTGCAAAATCGAAATCAAAACTCATAAAAATGCAATTTGCGCCAACAAGTTGACTTTAAGCAGGGCGCCCGCAAACAGCCCCTGCAGGGAAACCCCAAGTCGAAGTACATAATCCAAATCCGATGGCAGCTTTAGGCCGGGGCGAGACGTGTCTGCAATTTGCATGTGCTGCATGTCATGGGGGAGTTGCCCAAAGTTAAAGGAGAAGAAGAAGAAGCAGCGACAACGAGGGGCGCCATAAAACCCATTTGGCGCACAACAGTTAATGTGTGTAGGAGCAGGGGTGGAAGGGTGCGCCCGACATTTGGGGGCGTTTTAGTTTGTGTGCTGGAAATTTATGTTTGCGCCGAGGGTGGCGAATTCTGCAGACAGGGCTGCATAGCTACGATTTGTTGCTACATAGCAGCAGTTAAGAGCCGGAAATAACTCTTACGTATGCCGAGTTACGTGAGGCTAGTTTTACATATTACATATTTATAGGAGGTTTATTGGCCAGAATTAGCTTTAAACGATATGTGGGTGTTTGATAGAACTAAAAACCAGAAAGAGCCAACGGCTAACAAATTTGTATATTATTAAGATTAAGTCTATATCTCATCTTTATTCCAATACTCAATGCTTCTTGGTTCTATTGGCATCTTATCTGTCTGTAGTCTCCGCAAGTATAAAAAAAATTTGGATTTGATTTTTAGCTTCTTTAAAACTTTATACAACACTATACATAGTCTTATTAGACTTCATCTATATCCCAACCTTTTACTTGATTTTAATTCTTTCAAGAAAAGAGTGAATTCTCTTCGAGGTTATGAAAAAGGCTAGGGAACCATGAAAAGTTTTCTCATTTTTTAAAAGCTTTTACAACACTACACAACATCTGTTAAGTAGCACACTTCCTAGCACTTGCTATGCCACATAACCGGCCACATTTGTCACATTACGAATTATGGGCTTTGCCTAAGGGAAACAGTCCGTTCTCCACTCCTAGCCAGATCCCAAATTTCTAATCCGAACCCAATTCTGGACACATGTGTGCACATAGCACGCACTTTGCATAATTAATGCACTGGCAATGTCACCAGTTACACACTTGAGACTGCAGGGCGAATGATGTACATGAGTACCTATATAGAGAGAGGGTGTGGCAAAGGGAGGGAGAGTTTTCCCATTGCGTTGGAAAATGTTACGGAAGTTGGCTGTGTTGCTTGTTAGTGCCAGAGCATTTTTTTGTATAATTACCAGAAGATATTGCCACTTAAAGGCAACGGTAGGCAAGCAAGAACGTTAAAGTCGGGCGCAAGCGACTGCGTAATACTCTGTTTGCAGTATAGAAACTTGTCGAGGTTATAAATTCTTTATCCGAGGCGTGCTCCATATTCTATGACTGTAAGACATGCACATTGCTCGAAAGCAATATACCCCAATTCACTTTGCGAACAGAGTATATTTAAGCATTCAGTGCCGAACGCTAGATGGCGCTGTTGTCACGCGCTCATTAGCGACAGCTTTGTGAGGCGCCCGCATCTGCAGCTACACCCAACGCAAGCAGGAAGTCTTTTGTGAGTGGGTGTGCGAGTGTGTGTGGGTGGATGTGGGTGTGAGAGGGGCTGTGCGTGTGTAAAGCGAACAACTTGAGCACGTGAATGGCACACCTGATGGACGAGCCGCACTCGGTACTCACTGCAGCCCAACTTAGACTCATCTATTTCCCTTTGTCATCTTGCAGGAGCTTAAGGAGAGCTTTAACTATGGCCTCTTTGCGCCACCCTCCAATGGCAAGGCGGGCAAATTTCTGGACGAGGAACGACGCTTGGGCGACTACCCATTCAATGGACCAGTTGGCTATCTGGAGGTAAGTTGCAGCAGTTGCATATTAGGCGCTCAACTGACCCGAGCTCCTCTTCCCCCGCAGCTCAAGTACAAACGTCGCGTGTATAAGATGCTCACCCTGGACGAGCGCCAGCTGAAGGCGCTGCACACACGCGCCAATTTGCGTCGCTTCCTGGAGTGCATCAATGGCGGGCATGTCGAGAAGATAGCCAAGATGTGTGCCAAGGGCCTGGATCCCAATTTTCATTGCTCAGAGAGCGGCGAGACGCCGCTCTCCGTGGCCACCGGCGCCAAGAAGCCCAACAAGCTGCTCATTGCCCTGGTCAATGGCGGTGCTCTGCTGGACTATCGCACCAAGGATGGCACCACGGCGCTCCATCGAGCCGTCGAACATGACTCGCTAGAGGCAGTTAGGTGAGACTTATTTCCATTTGGGACGCATTTGTCCTGACTGATTGACTGACTGCATTCACTTTCTATTCAATAAAGATAAAAGCCTGATTAAACCTTTAAAGTTATATTATTAATTCTTATATGTATTCCATATAGCACACTTCTGGAGCTGGGCGCCTCGCCCAATTATCGTGACGGACGTGGAATAACGCCTCTGTACATTTCCATAACACGCAAATGCGAGGCGAAGATCACGGAGAGCCTCTTGCACGATCACGCCACTCTGGGCATACAGGACAGCCAGGGCTGGAACGAGGTGCATCAGGTAAGTCGGTGACGGTCCAAATAGCTTTACGACTTCTATTTATTCGTAATTTTTTTTTGGTTCTTGTGAAAGCCCCCGCTCCCTATCCAAATTGAGAGAAACTTTGGTGCTGGTGCTGGGAAAGATATAAAATTTGTTTGCTAATTGATTTTTACTTCTCTTCTGTCTAACTTTAAACGCTTGCCTAACTATTGTTAAACTGTGCTCAGGCCTGTCGGCATGGCCTGGTGCAGCACTTGGAACACTTGTTGTTCTACGGTGCTGACATGGATGGACGCAATGCGTCCGGTAACAGCCCGTTGCATGTTTGCGCTGTTAACAACCAAGAGGCTTGTGCTAGAATGCTTCTCTTTCGCGGCGCACAACGCGGTGCCCAGAACTTTGCCAACCAAACTCCCTATCAGGTATTTAAAACAAAAACGAATCCAAATTAAAGTCTGACACACTTTCAGCTACAGTTAATCGTAATATACTCGTATAATATACTAGTTGTCTTCATGGTACTTTTCACGTAGTTTTGCTTGTAGTCAATCCAAATATTTAATGCCTAGCCTAGCCTCTGGTCTCATTCTGGGCTAATGTAACTTTATTCCCCAGGTTGCTGTCATCGCTGGCAACTTGGAACTTGCCGAAATAATTGAGAACTACAAATCTGAGGATATTGGTGAGTGCAAACGAGCCTATCGCAATCATACAAACATTCATTCGCACTCACACAAATCAGGGAACGTTGATATCATTTCACGTAATCTAAAAAACGATTGACAGACTGAGTGATTGATGACCAACGCTCAGCCCGTACTGTAAAAGCTAAAGTGCTTTTGTACAACAAATTTGTGGAAAACGGTCTCAAATACAATATTAAATACTTTGCCCAAGTTATTTTGGACAATTTTGCTTAATAAACATGATATCAACGTTCCTGAAACGCATCGACCAATCCCAATCGACTCGTACTCGACATTGACATTGCCATATTGTACTTTTTACTCATGCTCAGCCCCGTTTACCACTCAGTTAATCCCATTTTTTGTCACACCTTGATTTACATTTTAGTTTTCTCGAGTTTCCTCTACTCAATCTATAGTATCTATTGTCAAGATCAATTCCAACCGATTTTTATGCTCTGTTTTAATCACTTTTAGTCCCAAAATCCCTTAAAAAAACTGTTAAGTTCTCAACGACACTTAAACTATTCATATAAAAATCATATATCAACAAATCATTTCATCATTTAGGTCTCCTCGAATCGAAAATCATTTTTCATATATATCAATTAAACATACAAATTTGGCGCATATTATATAACAAACGCTATATGTACAAGTTTTTATATGTATTTGCCTTGCATATTTTTGCATTTGCTTGAGATATATTTTCTATATATACTACCTCTCTTTCTATATATATAAATATGCATAGTACTTATTCGTAACTGTAACTTGTTTCAATTTTGCTCGTGTACTCGTTTGACTCTCACACCTCATTGCCACGTCTATATATCTCTCTCTCTTTCTCTGTCTGTGTCTCTCTTGGCTGTCTTGTTCAATGTTTTGTTAAATTTTTTACCGTTATCCATTTATCTATATAGTTATTGATGTATTCATACAGCATAAATAACCTATACATCATATTGTTTAGCTAGTTTGTTTTTGCACATTCCTAGAATGTCAACTTTTTGCTACATTATGCTTTATCCTACGGTCAATTGCCTTGAGCTACATTCATACAGCAGAGCAGTAAGTACAGTAAGTAACAGAAAAACCTTTGGTGTACCGATCCCAAGTGTTAGCATCCATAGGAAATAGTCTAGGAATTTGATCCTTAATATCTTGACCTTTTATTTTCTGTATTTTTTTTTTTAATAAGAGTATGCCCGATTCTAGATTGAGTAGAGCAAGCTAGGGTTGAGCAATAACATATTTTGGCTAACATGCGTTTGTTATGTTAGTTAACAGCTGTTAACAAATGACAGTCTTTTATTGAACATTTGCTCATCTCTAGTGCAGCCCCCATAAGCCATAATCATAAACCTGGAAACCGGATGGTCTCTCCACAAACTTGGCCACAAAATGTGACAAAAATACATAACCATAGCTAACAGAAATATATGTATCAGAGCTCTTTTCCCCACCACCGCGACACATAAACTCAGCTCTTTAGCTGCGACTGACAAAACTCTTCCCACAACAAGAACAATAACCACAACACACACACAAATATACACGTATAAATCGCAAACTATCCTTACTATCCACATCGCAGTACCCTTCCGGGGACCACCGCGCTACAATCCGAAGCGCCGCTCGGGCATCGGCTGGCTGAGCGCCAACGGGGCCGCTGGCGCTGGGCTGCTTGCTGCGGCTGCCGGTGGGCTGGGTGGTGCAGGGGGCGCTGGTGCCGGGCCAGGTGGCGGCATGTGTGTGAATGGCAATGGAGGCGGCAGCCTGATGGGCACGCTCTCGCGCCAGCAACTGCAGCAGCTGCAGCCGCACCAGACCCAGAACCAGCCCCATAACCATAACCAGCACGTGCAGCATTTGCACCACCAGCACCAGCAGCCGCATCTGCAGCTTCACGGCCCGCCCTCGCCCTGTCCATCGGAGCACATGCTGGGCGCCTACAGCTCGGCCAGTTCGAGCCTATCCGAGGGCTCGTCGGGACATCGCTCTCACGAGGACGACATCAGCATTGTGACAGGTAATGGAATTTACTTTGATTTCGCCTTTTACCTAAGTTCTCCTTAAGTTTATTTATAATTTCAATTAATTTAAAATGGAGCGTCATCGATTGAAGCTTAGGGTTTACTAAGAGAGAGCCATACACACACATATATATCCGTATTATTGTACATATTTTCTGCTTTTACTATAATTATCAATGTATAAGCCCAAGAAGAGGTCAAGTATAAAATTTGCAACGAATCAAGCATGCATATTAGCTTTAGTTTAAATTTAGAATATAGTTTATATTTTATATAATCAAATTCCACAAGTGCATGTCTTTTGCCTGCTTTTAAAAGAAGCAGGCAACTATTTTTATCGATTCTATCAATATACTTAAGCACGTTTTTAATCGATTACAAATTCACACTGTGACTAAGTTATGAGTGAATTATGCGATTCAGTCATACTCACACTTAATTTATGTAATACCTATACATATAAAACGTTCTGTCCTGTTATCCTGACTGCCCGATTGATTGACTGACTGACTGACTGACTGATGCTCAATGTGCAGTCTACATAGCTGGTGAGATGTAAGTAAAACTGGAACTGGGCAGGAAAATGGGCACCCAGCTTATAAAGACGATAGTTAAGACATAACAAAAAGAATAAATAGAGATTACCAATCGTGAGAAATTCACCCCAAGGTTCGAAAACTGGGTGAGAAGTAGACTTAAATTAATGAAAAGTACGTTGCACGGGCAACGCCGAGTAATACCAAAAAGCAAGCAAATAGAACAACTCATTCACTTGAAGATGAATTAAAGACACATTCACTGCAAAATAATGAGTCGCCCGCAATTTCGACCGTGTCTAAGCGATTCGCCACGCGATTATTCCAGCCACATTCACAAATGCATCGAAACGCATTGCTTTTTGTGCTCACCTCTCCTTCCGCCTGTAATATACTTTCCACTCACTGCATTCGCATGTAATCGTCATACTCAATGTTGTCTCTGTCCAGCTCCAGCTCCGGCTGCGGCTCCGGCTGCAGCACGGAGCTGGTCAAATCATTTGTCCATGGACCTGTCGACTTACTTGAGTTTCCGCTTTTGCCATCCGCACAGATAAATCGCTGGGCGACACCAGCGACATCATCAGCGACTCGTCGGGCGTGGGGACCAATTCGGACTCGGCGGCCTGCTCGATTGGCCATCCCAGCACCACGGTGGTGTGCATGGAGCCCTATGCGGGCAATACGGTGGGTCACATACGGCTGCAGCCGGGCGATGTGATCGAGGTGGTGGGCAGCACCGACTGCGGCCTGCTCGAAGGCTATGTGCGCGGCACCAATCAGTCGGGCTTCTTTCCCGCCGAATGCGTGCAGGAGGTGAATCTGCGCCAGAAGCACATCACCAATGTGATGACCGCCAGCACGGGCATGGCTGCTCCCCAACAGCAGCAGCCGCTGCAGCCACAGCCCGCCTCCTACCAGGGCTCGCCCCAGCTGAGCCTTGGCGGGCACTCGGGCAGCTCTAGCACGCTGCTCCATCAGCCCCATCAGTCGCCCTCGCTCTCGATGACAAGCAACGGCTCCTGCCAGCAGCAGCAGCAGCAGCATCATCTGCCGGAGGGCAATGGCGGCCACATGGGCAGCAATTCCATTGGACAATACAGCAGCGCCACAGCGCCTCGCATCAAGAAGGGGTAAGTTTGTTTCTAATCCCTGTCAGGTCTCGTATTAATCCACATATTGGAATCCATCTAGGGCCTACAATGCGCCCCGCTCGGTGGTGCTGCATCGGGCCAAGCGCGGCTTTGGCTTCATTTTGCGCGGCGCCAAGGCCAGCTCCCAGCTGATGCAGCTGCGTCCCTCCGAGCGCTTCCCGGCGCTGCAGTACTTGGACGACGTGGATCCCGGCGGCGTCGCCGACATGGCCGGACTGCGCCCGGGCGACTTTTTGCTCACCATCAACGGCGAAGATGTCAGCGCCGCCTCGCACGAGCAGGTCGTCGAGATGATACGCTCGGCGGGCGCCCTGGTCAACATGACCGTCGTCTCGCCACAATTTCCGCTCCAGATGCAGGCTAGCGCTCAGTATTTGCCGAGTGGCGCACGCGCCGGCAGCCAGCATCTGAACAGTGGACCCAGCACGCCGCAGAGCGCGCACCGCCAGTGCGCTACGCTGCCGCGCAAAATGTCCATGGGCCCGGGCAGTCATGCCAGCGGCAGCTCCGCCTCGGGTGGCGGTGGCAGCGTTCGGATGGCGCCCATGCCGCCACGACGTGATCCGAAGACGACGCTTAGTGTGGGACGGGCCAGGGCCAAGTCTATGGTCGCCGGCCTGGAGAATGGCGGCGAGAAGGAGCAAGACGATGTGCCGCATACCAAATCCAATTCGGTCGAGTCCATTGCTACGCCCACGCCCACACATCCGGGCACACCGGTGCAGCTGCGCACGGCCAGCATCAAGGCGCGGCCCACATCCAGCCGCATCACCGCCGCCGAGCTGGAGGAGCTCTTCCAGCGGCAGCAGGGCGAGGGCAGCGCTTCCAGCGCCAGCCGTTATGCGACCATGATGACCAGCTCGCGCTTCCAGTCGGGCACGGACAGTGGTGCCGCTACGCCACCCGCCGCCAATGGCTCGCCCATGCGCACCGGGCCCCTCGTCTATGGTAGCGTCGCCGAGATGAAGCGTAAGGCGGCCAGGAGCAAGCACGGCAGCGGCACGCTGCGCGGCAAGCCGGTGGCCACGCCCACAGTAGGTGGCGCGATTGTTGGCAGCGGTCGCGATCTGAAGCGTTTCCACTCGACGCCCGATCTGCATGGGCCGCAGCTGCACGGCTCCGCCTCGTCCATCTGGCAGGCGGCGGGCAAGGGCCACCACTCGCAGGACGACGTGGCCACATTGCACGCCTCGCTGCAGCGTCTCAACACGGCGGGCAGCAAGGAAGAGAGCAAGGCTGCTGCTGGTGGCGCAGTGCTGCCGCCGCCCAATCACCCACCGCCGCCACCGCCCGTCGGCCAGGTGGTCAAGGTGGAGACGCGCAGCAGCGTATCGGAGTACGAGAGCACAATATCCTTGCAGCAGAAGCTGAAGAAGCGCGCCGAGAACGACGCAGTCACTTCGGCGGCCATCGATGGCGTCCAGAGCAGCTTCAATCCATCGGCCAATGCCAAGATCTATGCCTCGCCGCAGGAGCTGCGCAACGTGATGGCCTGGAAGCTGCGGCAGGCGCAGGAGAAGACCCAGCAGGAAGCCGCCGCACAGCAACAGCAACAACAGCAGCAGCAGCCGCAGCAACATGTCAGTCAATATGCGGCGCCCACTCAGCTGCGTGCCCAAGCGCCTGCTCCGGCCGGCTCCCATTATGCGGCACCACAGCTACAGCAACAAACAACAACAGCAACAACCGCAGCAGCAGCAGCAGCACCTCAATCGCCGCCAGCTCCGCCACCGCCGGCGCCAAAACCACCGCCAGCAGCAGCAGCACAAGAGCAGCAGCAAGCGAATGGCAATGCAACGACAACTGCCACAGCTAGCGCGGCCCCGCCCATACCCGAGCCGGATTACAGCTGCAGCGAGTCGGACGGCGAGGACGAGAACTCGATTCTGGTGGCGCGCAACACGAAGCTCAATGAGAAAATTGCGCTCTTCGATGTGCCGGAAACAAGCGGCAACAGTCAGGCCAGGTAAGTGCCACAAATAGCTGTCAACCTGAGTCCTGCTTTCACTAACTGCTGTCCCTCTCTCTTGCCTTCTTTAGCGGCAGCAGCTCTGCCTCTGGCTCGGGTGCCTCCATTTCGCACTCGCTGTCCGTGGAAGAAATTCAGCGCATACGCAGCAATCTTAAGACCTCCAAGTCGTCGCCCAACGGCTTCCTCAAGAAGGAAGACGAGCAGCAGCAGCAGCAGCCGCAACAGCTACTGCCACAGCCTGCTGCTGGCGAGGACGAGTGCGACAACAGCAGTTCCGGCGTGAGCAGCGATCAGGAGCTGCTGGCCACATGCGTCGGCAAGCCCACGGACACCATCAAGAAGAAGCCAAGCGTGACCATTGTCGAGGAGCCCAAGACCATACCCGATCCGCCGGCTAAGCCCCTGGCCAAGACAACCATCAGTATTGGTGCAGCAACAGCAACTGGCAACACAAAAGCCAGCAGCAACATTAATGCGGGCACAAATGTGGCGCATGCTGCTGCTGCCTACGAGGCGGCCACCAAGTCCACGTCCACTGGCAATCTCAACAACAATGCCAGCGGCAATCACAACAACAACAGCAACAACACAGCAGGAACAGCAGCAGCAACAACAACAACGCTGACGGTTAAGCAGATGGTGCAGCAGCAACATGCACCAGTCATACAGCAGCAGCAGCAACAGCTGAGCAGCAAGCCAGCAGCAACTGTTGCTAACAAGCTGCCAGCAACAGCAGCAACAGCTCAAGTCAAATCGAATCAGCCGGTGCTCAGCCCTCAGGTGCTAGGCCGCATACCCAATGTGCATCACCAGCAACAGCTGCAGCAACAGCAACAGCTGCAACAGCAGCAGCAGCAGCTGCATCATCAGTCAAATCCTAATCTGAAGCTGATTGCCACACAGCAGCAGATACTGCAGCAGCAACAGCAGCAACTGGCGCACCAGCAACACTTGCAGCAGATACTCAAAGCCAAAGCAGCGGCCGCTGGTGGCGCCAGCACAGCCGCCCTGGTGGCCAAGCAGCAGCAGCAGCTGCACAAGGGCCACGACTCGGAGCTGGAGCAGCGCTCCGATCTAGATGAAGACGACGGTGAGCTGAGTCCGTCGCCGCCAGCCAAGGCCTTTCAGCGTCACAATTCGCTCACGCGTAAACAGGCGGCGGCCATTGCCATGCAGCGTGGCGCCACGCGCACCACCGCCGTCTCGCTGGTGCAGTTGCCGCCGCCCCTCGAGGCGGATAGCGACGGTGAGCCAACACAGCAGCAACATCTACAGCACCACCACCAGCAGCAGCAGCAGCAGCAGATGGCCACGCATATTGTGGGCATGCTGCCCAGCGGCCAACTGGTGGCTGTGCCATCTGCTGCCGTTGCTGCTGCTGCTGTGCCGCAGCCGGGCAACAACAATATGCAGCTGTGCACCGAGAATCTGGTCCTGGCGCCGCCGCCGCAATTCTGTGATTGCAACGATGCCAAACACGCGCCGCAGTACCATCCACAGCAACAGCAGCAACAGCAGCAGCAGCATCTACAGCAGCAACAGCAGCAGCTACTGCAGCAGCAGCAGCGTCACCAGCAGCAACTGCAATTGCTGCAACAGCAACATCAGCAGCAGCAGCAGCAACAACAGCAGCAGCAGCAGCAACAACAGCAGCATCAGCGGCTGTCTGGTGGCGCTGGCGCTGGCGCAGTGGGCACCTTGGGCCGTGTGCGCATTGTCGGCGCCATGCCCAAGGCCAATCATCACAGACTGCACTAAAGCAATCGATATATGGTATATAATCGATAATTCAACAATTTGCCAAAAACGTTAAGACGTTAATTAGAATTACATCAAACAGTCATTGCCATTCACAACGAATAGCTGCACTCGAAATTAATACACACACACACATACACACATGCGCACCTTGGCAACATGTTGCCAGCAACAAGTTTTCGAATCAATTTTAATTGCAACATGTTTGCAAATGCTATCGATGTATATTAGTAAAATTAACATTAAATTGAAAAGCATAAAAAAATAACATTCAAGTTCAAAGCATGTAAAAACATATAGAAAAAAACACGATAAAAAAGATAATTAGTTAATAACGCAATATGGCACGAGCACGATTTTTAATTTGTTTAATTTCGCAAAAAAAAGAAACAAATGTTCTATTATTTTATTATATTTATTGCGTGTGATATAAAGTTATGTATGCGGCGTAAACGCAGCAAAGTAGAAAAAAGAAAAAACAAGAAGCAAAAATATTGAAATATTTTTAATCGAGCATTCGAAACATGTTTGCAATATTTAAGTAAAGTTCAATCTATGTAAATCTTAAACATTAAGTTCTTAAGAATTGAAAACAAACTGAACCTATTACGAAAGACTCAGTTTGTTTTCGAGCTGCACAAGTGAAAATTGTCGCAATTGTTGTGGAAATTCTCAATCAAAAATATTTCGTTTATGGTTTTCCACAACAAATGCCCGTGACAAGCATTAATCATTAGCCTAAGCATCGAGTTTTTAACTAGAAGCTAGAACTTTGTTTCAAGTGCATTTCAACTGCATTTCAATATCCATCCATCCATTCATCAATATTCACGCGTTCGAATGCACAAAACATTCAACACTCACATCTAATCTACAGTTTAGTGGTACTTTTTAGAGAAGCAAAAGTAATAATAATAATAAAAATAATAATAATACTAATGCTAATACTAATAGAGTTTGAATTTGCGCATTTAGTCGAGTCGAGTCAAATGAAATACAGTAAACTATACTTAACTAAATCACTACAAGTAATTACCTAATTAACAACTAAACGCATTTTTAAAAAGCATATTTAAACTAACTAATAACGAGCGGCAAAACTTTTGTAAGCGTAAATTTTTGGTAGTAAAATTTACAGATTTTTACTTTTAACGCCCTTTTTGTATAATTGTTTTTTAGAGAGAATCTTTAACTTGCGCAAGTATTACAAAGTTAAAAGGAAATACACTTAAAGATAATATAATTCAAATATAACAATAATATTGAAATTGAAAGAGGTTCTCAAGTATTTGCAGGCACTTGCCGCAAATATTGTTAAGGACTCATGAACTTACAGAAATGCGTATTCACAAGTAACAATTATTATAACTAAGGCTGATTTTATTGCATAATATTACGTGCAACATGCAACGTGCAACATTTAACATTGATTACTAGCAATTAATCACATTTAAAAACTCAACTAATGCAAACAGGCAAAGGCATTTAAGCTGTTTAAACAAAAATCCGTAAAAAGAAAGTGTCGCAAATAATTTATAACTAATAATAATAATAAGCTAAATATTTAAACATTTAGTATTGGCAGGCCGCACCTTTGCACTAGCATCTAAGTGTTGAAAAGTTATTAAACATAGCCCCACACATACATACATGCATACACACACACGAATACACAGGCACATTTGCATGAATATTGGCAAAGCTAACTTCTAATTAGATTTAGCACACTATTTAGTTCCCGCAATAGTTTATAATTATTTGTAAATTGTTTTTAGTTCAGCACCTGCCCCACAGCCCTCTCCCTTTTTAGCCCTCTTATTTTAGCCAAGCTTGTTTTATGTTTAAGTTAACTGCATGGATGTATCCATGTCGAGTTGTCATGCACGTCCTACCTATCAAGTCTATATACTATAAAACACACACACATACACATACATATATCGGGTACATGCAAAGTAAGCGAGTATGATAAATATGCTATACACATTTATAATGTTAAACAATTGAAGCACACATACATACACACACACACATTGAATGTATTTACAATTGTGGAATATAATTATATTAAGTCATAAAATATGCAATTATGTATTATGAACATGCGTATAAAGAAATCAATAAATATGAATGAAAATTACATCGAAGGGTGGCTTAGATGATTTCTCTTGAATGCCAACGGGTGGAATTGGTCCTTACGAACCTAACGTACTCTGGAGTGTCCTTTTCACAAAAATAACCATAACTCATCCAAATCCTTGCGGATTCTCAAAGGACTTGCCGTGTTAGAATTGCAATGACCAAGTCTATGGAACTGCATCAAAACATTTAGGGGTCATCTAAGAATCAAGGATAAGTCCTTTTTCTTCTAATTGCGAATTACTCGGCTATATACTCTCGGATCCTGACAAGTCAGGTGTCAAGCGATGTGTTTGAACCAGGGATATCAACTGACCAAAGGACATCCATTTCGTCCTCGTAGTTTCCGAGATATAAAAATCTTTGTGTTTCCTTGCGCCCACAACTAAAATTTTCAAGTCCTGGATTCTTAGATGACCCCCTTATGTTTTGATGCAGTTGGTCCTAGCAATGCTAACGAACCAAGTCCTTTGAAAATCCGCAAGGATATGGCCGAGTTATGGCTATTTTTATGAAAAGGCCACCTTATTTTTACTCATAATTTTGAGATATCCTTAAGGATATCAAAGGGATATGCCTGTTTGAGATCGGAAGGATTAGGACTATCGATTCATTATTCAGGGATTTCCAGGTTTCGAAAATTTCACGGCTATCTCCGTCATTTGAAGAACTATCGGGATGTCCTTTGGCCAGTAGATAGTCCTCAACCTCCCATTTAAAATTATACCACCCGACGGACGATAGTCCTTCAAACAGCTGAGAAAAAATGACTTTTTTGTAAACAAAAAATTGGCTACAACTCGGCTATATTCTTGCGTATCCTGATGAGTCCTATGTCAAAATGATTGTATATACCAGGTCTACCAACTGGCCAAAGGACATCAATATCGTCCTTGTAGTTTCGGAAATATTAGGAATTTTGTGTCAATAGCCCATTTTCTTGCAGTCCGGGGCTGAGAAAATGACCAAGTGCTGGGTCTTAGATGACCCCCTAATTTTTTGGTGTAGATCGATGCGCTTGGTCCTCGCGATACTAACGCACCATGTCCTTTGAAAATCCGCCAGGATATGACCGAGTTATAGCATTCAAAGTTAAGGTTTGCACATGTTTGGCAAAATTAAACATTGCATACCCAAAAGGGGCGTCCGTTGAAGATCATTGGCTCGAGATTTTATAAATTCTGCCAAATACCAAGTCAACAGGATTGACAAAAAAATACAGGTATGAAAAATCATTGTATACTCAAATGGATCGCGAAATTTGACCGAAATACCAAGCGAACATATGTGATTAGCAGGACGACGAAGGGGGCAAAAATGTTAGGTTTAACGGTCGGCTGTAAGCAGCTGCAGCTTCTGTAAAATTGCAGCTTATTAAAATATATGAATTTGATTTTTAAATGCTCTGCCATATCCTTGCAGATTTTCAATGGACATGGTGCGTTAGGCTCGTAAGGATCAAGGCCATCGACCTGCAACAAAAAATTAGGGGGTCATCTAAGAATTCAGGACTTGGTCATTTTTTCAGCCCCGGATTGCAAGAAAATGGGCATTTGACACAAAATCCTGAATATCTCCGAAACTACAAGGACGATTTGGATTTGGATTTTTGTCGTGGGGCGCAAGGAAACACAAAATCCTTCATATCTCGAAAACTACAAGGACGAATTTGGTGTCCTTTGGACAGTTGGCAGCTCTGGTTTATACACATCGTTTGACATCAGAGGATGCGAAAGGAAAGAGCTGAGTAATTCGCAGTTGGAAGAGAAAGGATTTGTCCTTGGATAGCCCCCTAATTTTTTGATGCATTTTGGTGCAGTGGATGCCTGCAAATCTAACGCCCCAAGTCCTTTGAAAATCCGCAAGGACATGGCCGAGTTATTTACTTTGAGCAATAATACACATCCCCGGAAGTATGCAGCGAAATTAATCGTGAATTGCTGCTTTGTGTACCTTAAGAGTATGCCGTGATTTTACAAAAATAGAAAGGCATTAGTTACTTGGGTCGGCCTAAGAGTATGCCATTCCCTTGGCTGGCATTTCTCATGAAATAAGAAGAAATTGTTGATTTATTTACAAAAGTAATATTTTACTATTTTATTTTGTTGCTTTTTGTTTTTTGTTTTATCTGGTTTCTTTAATATTAAAAGAAAATCTACAAATGTTTGTATTTTTTTTTTGTATGTTTGTTTTTGGGCCAACAATTCGTACGTGTTCGAGTTATTGACACATAAGTTCTGTTGCACATCCTGGAGGACAACAAAACGACAAACCGAAGACTTGTGCACCAAACATCTTTTGGCTAAATGATAAAAAAAGAAAAACAAAACAAAATGCTGCAAAAGGCTCTCAAATCGAATTCAAATCCAATTCGATTTGTTGTATTTCTTTGTTTTTGTTTCTTTTTTTTATAAATTATGAGCTAAAATTAATTTGCATTTGCATTTGCTTTTGCTTTTGTTTTTTTTTTTTGCTTTTGAAGTTTGCTTTTTGTAAATTGTTAAAGTTTTGGTTTGCCGCTGGCAGCTGTTTGCTTTTAATTGATATCGAGTTGTGTCTGGCTGTGTGTGTATGTGTGTGTGTGTGTTTTACTTGCAACACTTGCAACTCGCTGCGCCTCGATTCGGTTGCAAGCTGCGCTGCTAATTTGTGTACTCATTTTTAATATATATATATATATATCTGTACTCGTATATATATGTAATAATAATATGCCATATTGTATATAGTAATAATAATAATGTATATATATGTATATATACTATATAATATATAATTTGCGTGGTTTTTAATTTTTTTCTTTTTTTTGTAAACAAATTGGTTTCGTATCATAAATTACAAACTACAATTCGCGTATTTTTTTTATAATAATAATTATTTAATAATAATTTTTGTTAGTTTTGTTTTTGTTTGTTTGCGGCTTAAATACTTTGGGCTACGCGTTTGTTTTCTAGGCGTGTCTGTGTGTGTTTTTGTGTCTGTGTGTGTCTGTGTGTGTGTGTGTGTGTGCTCGATCAGCATTCGATCTAGGCATTATCTATGTACTCGCTTTATATATAGATATATATATCTGGAAGTGTCTGTCGCAATTTCTATGGCCTCTGAGCTGAACTGAACCGATCTGAACTATTTAACTTATGGACTTATGGAATTGCGCTAATTAAATGTCGGTACAATAATTTCATAGCTGGAATCTCGGCGTATATTATTTATTTTTTTCTTCTTATCATTTTGTCAAGTGGGCTGCTGTGGGCGTGGCATGGCGTGACGTCACTTGGTAACGCGGCCACAAAACGCATTTAGCTAAAAATCTGTCTGCTGCTTAGAACTCTAATTCAATAATCGAATATATATATTTGTATATATATATCGAGAAGTATATAGTGTGAGTTTGTGTGTATGAGTGTGTGTTTGTCTGGCTGTTGTGTATATATATATATATATAAATTTATTTAACAAACTACTAATGTTTAGGGCTTTATGCACGCTTTTCACTACCAAAAAACTACGCGTAGTAATTAATTATAAGTTTTATAATATATGTATATATATACATACATATATGTATATATATATAATTTGTTTTTTAAATATGTTTGTTGTTTGCGCTTAATTCGCATTGTTGCTCCGCGTTTGCTTTTTTGTTTGTAAAATCCATTTAAACTTAATTGTTACACAAAAATAATGTACAATAATAATAATAACTGTTTCTCCGCTTTTCTATTTTCTCTCTCTAGTAAATTTTCAAATTTTCTTTCTGTTTGTGTGTGTATGTGTATGTGTGTTTATGTGTGTAAGCAATTAAAATATCACCAATATTTTTGCTTTTTGCGTTTTTCCTTTGCTGTTGCACTTTTTACTCTTTTTTTTTGTGTTTTTCTTTTGCTACTTTCGCATTTTTGTTTTAGTTAAAAAATTAAATTAAATTAAATACAATATAAAATGTACAATTTCTTTAGTTACTTTTTTTTGTTGTTTTTCTGACGCATTTCTTAAAAAGTTTTCTTTTGTTGTTGGTTCCATTTTCTTTCTTTCTTTTTTTTTTGTTTTGTTTTCTTTTTCGCTTTTTGCTTAAGTAAAATGAAATGTTGGGCGGGCGAACTGGTCGCTGGGCGTGGCCAAATTGCATTAAGTACAAGTGCTTAAGTTCTGCGAGTGGTTGTGTGTGTGTGTGTGTGTGTGTGTGTGAGTGTGTAGGTGTGTGCTTTACTATTTTTTAAAAATTTTCTGAGGCTGCTCTCAAATACTTTTCGTCGAATTGTTTTTTTCTTGTTACTTTATATATAGACAAATATATATAGATATATATTTGTAGAGTATGGAATGTTTGCGTACTGGCCGCTGCCGCTGCCACGCCCCAGCGCTCGCCCGCCTTGGACCGTTGCTGCCCCCTATAAAAGAAAGCGGGCAGCTCTAGCGGCTAATAATACAGTAAAGTCCCAAATTAGAGTACATCGAAACGAACTTAGCTTCTAAATACACACAATTAACAAACAGTGGGGGAGGGGATGGTTGTGGGTGTGGGTGTGGGTTAATGGGCCATGGGGCATGGAGGCAATAACAACAACAGGCAACAACAAAAAATATTCAAACAAAAACAGGCAACAATTGGTGGTGGTTAGGGTGGTGTTGGTGGTGGTGACGACGGCGTCTCTGCTTGGGAATCCTTTGCGGATACTCGCTGCTCTACTGCAAAATGTCCTGTATGTTAAAGTTGTCGTTGTCCAGCGAGTTGATCAGATCCTGCGTGGAGAAATTGCCGTCGGGCAGATTGTCCAGAAATTCGAGACACAAATCATTCGAGTTGGCCACCACCGAGTTGATCGTCTGGCTGATCGAACTGGCGCTGGCAATGGTTGCCGAGTTGCCGACCACGCCCACGCCAACGCCGACACCAACACCGACGCCTACACCGCCCGCCTGGTTTGCACCATTATTGTTGCTGGACCCGTTGCCGCCGGGTCCTCCGCTCTGGCTCTGCATCTGCAGCTGCAACTGTTGCTGCTGCTGCTGCTGCTGGTGTGTTGTTGTCGTGCTGGTGCTCTGCACAAACTGTTGCTGCTGCATGGTGAGCTGCTGCTGCTGGGTCTGGCTCATGTGGATGCTGGTCATCTGCATCTGGGTGGCCATCATGCCGCCGCCTCCGCCGGCAGCTGCGTTCTGTTGCTGCTGCAGCAGCTGCTGCATCTGCATGCTGCCGCCGCCGCCTCCGCCACCACCGCCGGGTCCCATATGTTGCTGCTGCTGTTGCTGTCGCATCAGCTGCTGCTGCATTTGGGCGGGCGTCAGCTGCATCTGCGGTCCATTGGGGCCGGGCATCATGCCGACACCGCCGCCGCCGCCATTCGGTCCGTTGCCCGGCGCATTGGGCGCTCCATTGGGCATGAAATTACCTGGAAAACAACACGATTAATTGAGAAATTTAGTAGTGAAACTCGTCTTGATCGACTTTACCGCCATTGAATCCACCGGGTCCTTGACGCATGGGTCCGCCTGGTCCAAAGCCCATTTGCTGCTGCTGCTGCGTCATCATCATGTGGCGCCACTCCTGCTGCGAGCCCATGGGCATGCCGTCGGGCGTGACCTGCACATTGGGCGGCCGCTGCTGCTGGCCGCCGCCACCGCCGCCGCCCATGGGTCCGCCAGAGCCACCGACGCCGCCACCGCCGTACGGGCCGCCCATGCCACCGCGTGGCCCGCCGCCCGCACCACCATGCTGCTGCATGTACATGGCAGCATGCTGGGGCCGCATCATGGGCCCGGATGGTGGAATCGGCTGCTGTGTCATGCGTCGCATGGCTGCCGCTTGGGCTGCGCTGTTTGGAAAGCGGCCGGCGCCGCCGCCACCGCCAACACCACCGCCCACGCCCACTCCAACGCCTCCGCCACCGCCACCGCCCACAGTCTGCTGCATCATCTGGGCCTGCATTAGCTGCGCCTTGGTGGCATTATACTCCGGCGGCGGCGGCCGTGCGCCGGCCATGTGCTGCTGCACCTGCTGCTGATGCTGCATGGCCTGGGCGCGCATCATTTGCTGCTGCTGCAGGAACTTGGCCTGGCTGGCGGCCGGCACCGGGCCGCCCCCATTGCCGCCCATCATCATCTGGGCATTGGGCGCGCCGCCATTCGGATTCATTTGCATGGGATTCATGGGTACGCCGCCGGGTCCGCCCATTTGCATGCCCGGCATGCCGCCCATGGGTCCGCCCAGTTGATTCATTGCACCATTGTTGGGTCCGCCGGCGCTGACTGGAACGCCGACAGAGGCGTTGCCGCTGCCCGCGCCCACCGGCACGCCGCCCGGCGTCTGCTGCTGCTGCTGCATTAGCGGTACATTGCCGCCGGGTCCGCTATTCGCATTGGCCGCGGCCTGCGCCTGTGCAGCTGCTGCAGCAGCTGCTGCTGCCGCTGCCTGCGCCTGCGTTTGACGCTGACGCATATTGGGCGGCACTTGCTGCTGCTGCTGCTGCTGCTGAGCGGCGGCTGCCTGTTGCTGCTGTGCCGCAGCAGCAGCTGCTGCTGCCGCCGCCGCCTGTTGCTGCTGCTGCTGCGTGAAGTTCATGCTTTGGCTTTGGGAGAGCGAGAAGCCGTCGGAGGGTACTGTCAAATATTCAATTGAATCGAATTTAATGTGAGTGCACTCATTGGGTATTCATTTGCTTGCGCTGCTTACCATTTGAATTGTTCATGTTTTGATTTGGTTGCTGCTGCTGCTGTGCGCCATTCGGGCCGCCCCCATTGGCGCCCGCGTTGCCGCCGTGCGGCTGCTGCTGCTGCTGCTGGGGATTGGGGCCAGCATTGCCTGGTTGCTGCTGCTGCTGCTGCTGTTGTTGTTGTTGTTGTTGCTGCGCGGCCTGCTGCTGACTGAAGAAGACGCCCTGCTGCGCGGCAACCGAAACGTTGCTCTTCATGTCGCTGCTCAGGTGTAAATGCTGCCCAGCGGAGACCTGTGATAAAGACAGAGCGAGAGCGAAAGAGGAGATTAATTAAAAGTCCAATTAATATTCAATATCACTTTCGTTCAGTTTTAATTGATGGCCCGAGAATAGCAATACGACAGATTACGTATACGCACTGTGGCTGCCAGTTGGCAGAGCGAAACGAAACGTTCTTGACTCGGGAATTATTAAAGTTATAGACACCAAATTCGGTATGCAGCTTCTCGAACATGACACACAGCTTTAAAGAACTTTACCCAACTGAAATCTAACGCGAGGCGTTAGTTCAAATCTTAAAGCGAATCACCGATAATATTCTATATATGTTTTCTTTCATTTGCAGCCGTAAAGCACGAGCTCATCAAGCGATATTTGAGCGCCAATAGCTGTAGTTTATCTCTGCTAATTGCAATCAAGCTGTCTGGCTACAGACTTCCTCTTATGCCCCAGCCCTTGCTCTGCCCCGCTGTCAACTTTCCAATTTGCATCAGCTTTGGGCATCCTGCTGAATTTGACTGCCAGAGCCAAAGTCAAAGATTTTGAGGCTAATTCCCGGACAGGTCCTAGGCCAGCCGACGCATTTAAGACCTGGCCATCACCTACTCCATTTACAGCTGTCAGCCTTTGCGTTGCGGCTGTCAACAGCAGTTATAAAGGTGGTAAGGGGCTGTGGGCGGGCTTGTGTGTGTGGGGGGGGCTGCGGTGCAGACATCAAGTCGGCTGCTGAAGCTTATTATCGCCACAACTGCATTCGCATCCGCATCAGTGTCGCATTCAATGGCTTCTGCTGCTGGCTAAGCTGCCAAATTCAAACACACACACACACACACATACACACACGCACTCGCACACACACTGTCAGACACACAGCAACAACATTGAGGCATAAATCTTTTGGCACTTTTCGAGTGTCTACTTTAGCGGGCAAAGGCATCTTCAGCTACAACCCGCTGCCCTTGCCCAGTTTATGTTCATATTTGCAATTTATTTGTTATTGTAATCGAGGGCTACTCCCCAACCGACCCCCTGCAGGAAATGGGGTTAAAAGGGGCAACTGCGCGGCGCATTTCAATGCCATGTGCCAAAGCTCGTGTTGCCCCCAAATGATGTGTGTGCGGAGCTGGAGATGAGCGCGTGTCGAAGAACCATAAATGTACAGTGAAATCTCTGCTAACGAACGCCGTCGTGTTGGCAGAAGTTTGGACGCAGGCTGAGGAAATCGCTTGCCCCTGGCCGGGCACCTTGTTCTGGTATATACACAGGAGTCCGTGTCCTCGTCTGGGTCTATGTCCGTGTCCGTGTCCTCGGCGTCGTCCTCGCTGACGTCCTCGTCCTCATCATTGTCAACTCAATATTCAACTCGACGCGACGCATAGGCCAGCCAATAAATCTTGGCGACACGACTTCAGCGTCGCTCGTTGCTGCCTCGTGTGTTGCTTTTTTGGTGGCGCCCCAAAAAGCGCACTAAGCAACTTTGTGGCCTCTTTTGGCTGCTGCTGTTGTTGTTGTTGTTATTGTTGTTGTAATTGCTTGTTGGTTTAATTTATTGCGTTTTTGTGGCTCACGCATATGCCTGGTGTGCCTAAGTGTGCGCGTGTGTGTGTGCGTGCGTGTGGCATAAAGTACACTGATTAAAAGTCATGGACTCGCTGAGCTAATTGAAGTTTAGTGCCAACAACAACAACAACATCAAAAACAACAACAAAAGCAACAACGGCAACAGCATTGGCCACGGTCGCCAAGTGTCGCCATTGAGCTCTCTGCCCCAGCCGTTAAAACTCCCAGCTCCAGCAACTCCCCTCTGTTACCCGCCCTGCCCCCTGGCCGACATTTCATAAATCATTTGCATGCCACTGGCAAGGTGTGAAATGCGTCTGCAACACGTCGTGTGGATGAGAATGTCTGAAATCTATGAGATACGCAGTGTTGCTTATTGCGTATACGCAACGTAGACTGAGCAGAGATATGCCTTATAACATATATGTAGCCATATATCTGTATCCATATCATAGCAGTAATTAAACAACATCGCAGACAAACGCATGACAGTGCTTGACGATATTTTCATACAAAAAGCGAAATAAAAATATCTTTTAAAAATATTTTATGTGTGTAATAAAATAACTAAATTTTAGTTTATGCAATAGTTATATAGGATAAGAGCAGCATGGAAAAACTCGTAAATGCCAAGTTTGATAAATAACCAAAAGGGATTTCTTAGCCGGACTTGAATTTTGGGCGAATCCGCCTTTGGCTAAAATAATAAATAAGTATATAATCATATATAGACAGTATGAAAAATTGCGAATGAATTGTCAGACACATATCAAGTGTATCCAATGAATTCCCTTGGCATATTGATATCAAGGTGAATATGTGATCGATTTAATCAGAGCTTCGACTGGTGAATGCCTGCACGCTTTTCTCATTTCAAATAATTGACTTTAAGCAGATCCTTTGTAAGGACTCAATAACTGAGTCTTTGGGCAAACAAAGTGTAAGCACAGACTTTTTACTAGCATACTTTGGGGCGCAGCTTGTGGAAAGGAAGGGGAGGTGGGGAGTGGGAGTGGGAATGGGCTGCGGGTTGGTTGGCAACACGAACGACTTCATAAAACAAATCATTACAGCAGCTTTCATAAAAGGACAAACATGGCACAGTCGAAGGCGCAGGTACAGGCGCAGGACCAGGCTTAAGCCATCCACCAGTGGCAGCAGCCGGGGCAGCTGCGGGGGCAGCAGCGGGGGCAGCAGCAGCCAACGGGCAACGACTACATACATAAAATATCAATAAAAAAGTTTAAAGGTAACTGCGACGACTTCGCGCGAGCTTTGGCGACGAAACCACGACAGGAACAGGAGCAGAGGAAGCAGCAGCAGCAGCAGCAGCAAAAGAAGAAGAAGAAGCAGCAGGAGCTGTAGTCGCTCTCTCTTTGTAAGCCGTGCGCGTAAATCCTAAGCTATTACCCCAGCGCCGCCATATTGATTGCGCTGGAGACAAACCGGGCAGCCCGCACACACACACACACACATGTCACACACACACACACACCCACGCATGCCACACAGCAAGGACTCGTAAGCAGGAAATGCGCATTTGACAAGCCAAAAAGATTGCCGCATATGCCCTGCTGTCGCATCCCGCCCCCGCCCCCGCCCCCGCCCACGAACCCAAAGCCCAACGCCACGCAACCGCCCGCCCCTCGCCAAGGGACTGATATTTGAGCAGAGGGCAACTTGAATGCTGCCTGGGTGGCCAGCGTTGGCGGAGAGGGGGGCTGCCTTGCATATAGACTTGACAATGATATATGTGACTATGCCACAATGTGTGCTGCTGCTGGTGTGTGTGTGTCTATGTGTGTGTGTGTGTGGGTGTGTGTCAGTGTGTGTTGGGGTCGCTCTACTAAAAAGAAATGAAACTTCAACTCAGCCTCGGGGGCTGTTTCTTCTTATTGGCCCCCATACAAGCCATAAGTAGTTGAAAACTGAGAACGCAACTGTACCACAAATCAACACAATAACAAAATGTGAGGCGAACTTGTTTCCCGGCACTTACAATAATTGAAAAGGAATATATAGAAACTTAACTGAAAGCTACATGAACTACATGTCAAAGCATAACAGCTGATGCTTTGACATGAGTTAACGCCATGCTAATAACTCAAAGTGGCTTAACATATGTTAATCGTATGCTCAACTGCAGCAATTTTATCACGGCGGGATTTACAGTTACATCTGCCCAACATGTTAATGTTATGTGGGTAAAACGAGTTGCATTTACAAGTAAAACTAGTTGTGTGATAAGATTTGCGACTATTTACTCAATGTTAGTTAACATATGTAGGTTACAGAACTTATATTTCTGTTAGTAACAGAACAACTTTCAGTTACAGCAGCAAAGTTTTTAAATAAAAGCTCTGCAATGTTGTTCTAAATTTTACTTTTTAAATTGATTGAATTTGGGGAAATGTTTGCCATGTTATGTTACTTTACATTAACCTTATACAGCTGCTTAATAACATAGCTGTTAATAGCATACGTTTTGACTGCAGCTACTTGACATGCCACTGTTCTTTTTATCCAAGGTTTATAAAGAGGAAATCAAGTTTGGGCGAATGTTTGTCACTTTTTTTTAGTCATTGATCAATCGAGTTACATTTAAGCTGACAATATGTGCGACTCCACCCGCCACCAACGTAAGGACGAAGGATAATTGGAAGTAACTTCAAGTGCGCGCACAGAAAGCAATCGAAACAACTGAAGCAACAGCCGCCCACTCATCGAATTATGCACTTGGCAGCGGCCTAGCGTAGAGTCAATGAAATTAGCAAAAGAACACGCCCCTACAACTGTCGCCCCCTCGCAAATGCTAAGGGAGACGGTACAGTCCCCAACGCGAATTGACTGTGCGCCGCTTTTCTTGATATTTTTCCTTATTTGTTTTTTTGTTTTTGGCACGGAAGCCAAAAAATCCAAATGAAGCCAAGAGAATGTGTCGTCCTGCCCAGGAGACGGCCCCATGGAGTGGGCATGTGGGGGCGCAGGAAGGGCGGATGGGGAGGCAGAGGGGCCGCTGTCATTGGATATTTGTGTGACATAAACTAGCTACTCTCATTCGCTCTGCCTTGCTCCTGCTCCTAGTCCTCGCTCGGCTGGAGGTGCCCGCGATATTTAACGAATTTATGACAGCGTCTAACAAAGATAGAGAGAGGGCGGGGGTGGGGGAGGAATCTCATTTGGCGAGGCGTTAAAGCGAAGCGAATTTGATTTTTAATTGGCAATGACAGCCAAATGAGGAGGGGCTGCGCACAGAAATGTTATTAAGTATAAACTTTAAAGGCACTTATCGACTTATCGACGGGATTAAGATTAGGATTAAGAGAACGAGAAATTATGTGACTGGACGAATAGCAAAACAATCGATTGCTATTAAATGACATAAGACGTAAAGAAGAAGCACGTATGCGCTTATTTAAAAAAGCATGGAAAGATAACCAAACCCCGTTTTA